ATTCTTTGAGCTATATTCATCCTTTGCTTCATCTTCCTCATCAAAATATTATTTTTGAGAGTTAGAAATATTTTCTTTGAGTGCTAAAGAAGTTGTCATCCATAGAGCTTTAATTCTTCAACACTACTTTGCTCAATTGTGTGAGCTTTCATTCTTGTGTTGTAAACTCAATCTCTTTTGAGTGTTGTTCTTAAGACTTGTGTGACTCAAGTCTTGTTGTTGTAAGAAAGTGAGGCTTGTGTGATTCAAGTTCTCAAGTTGTACCGGTTTTTCAAGCACCTGTTGAAGCTTGAAGATTAGTAGGACTTTCGAGAGAGTCTCTCGGAGGACTGGACTAGCCACGAGGTGGTGAACCAGTATAAATCTCGGTGTTCTTCTTTCCCTTACTCTCTTTATTTATTCCTGCAATTTTATTATTTCACACACGCGAAAAACGCACATTCTTGAAAACAACTCTATTCACCCCCCCTCTAGAGTTGCACATTTGTCTAACAGAAACGACCTATATGAACATTCTAATCAATAGATATATCTACGGGCTTACCTTGAAGCTTAACGGAGGTTTTGGAAATTTTCTGGCGAAACTTCCGGCGATGATAACTCTCAACTCCGACGACTTCACACCAAATTGACAACACCACTGCGTTCTCCTCACTCAGAGCAACAGAATAGGACGAAATATTTTGAGAAATGGTGAAGAAATGGTTAAGCTTTGCTAGTCTTATATAGGAAGGAGATGGGGAAACTTCCAAGCTTGCTGTATCATTCCAATCGGCGTATCCTTGTAGTGGAGGAGGAGGCGCAGTCTCTACAATGTCCCTGATTGGGACCAATTTTGGTTCCAGTCGGGGTACACTTTTTGGTCCAACTTTCTCTGAATTGAAATCCGTTTGCACCTTTGCGATCAGACAGTCGAATTTTATCCAACTATATAATTTTTATATTTATTTGAAATATTTTTTTCCGACATTATATTTTTGAGTGTTTGACTTTGACAGAATCAAAATTGGTTTATTTGACCTTTATTCAAAAAGGTTCTCACATTTAATTCATATCATTTGCTCTCATGATTTATTTCAATAAATCATTTTAAAGTTCATATTATAAATAATTTCTTCATTTATTCTTGATTTGGGTCTGTACTCAGGTTCCCAATCAAGACCATACAAATAGTCAACATATTGGATTTATCTCTATGAGACTTATCTAGATTTTGATATTGGATATTTAAACATATTTCATATCGGCCCAAAGCCCCACAATAATTTATAATTTATCTTAATCAAAACAAATTTGATTAATTGAATAATTATTGATTAATAATTCTAGGGTATGTTTTGGGGCGTTACATTAAAAATATAGAGGAATTGGACGCGTTTGAGACTGTTAGTAAAAGGAAAAGTGTGAAAAGAGATTTACTTGAGGATTTACATAAGGGAGGAGGGTGGATAAATGCCCCTTACACTGGACACTATCCCTTTCTCACATGATACTCAGCCGGAACATGAGGGGGCTAAACAACCCTAATAAAGAGTGGGAAATAAAGAGCTTAGTGAATAAATTTAGTATTAGTATTATGGGTATACTTGAAACCAAAATAAAGAAAGACAAGGAGGAGGTTTTCCTGAATAAGATGTTCATAGATTGGGGGAATTTACTAATGCTGAATATCACCCCCTAGGAAGGATCTGGGTGGCACGGAATAAAAGGAAAGTTTATGTCGAGATAGTGGATGCTAACGCACAATAAGTCCATTGTAAAGTTAGGGATATAGGGAATGATGATTACTATTGGATCAAATTTGTATATGGTGTTAATGACCAAATGAGCAAGAAACCATTGTGGGATAGTATCAGGAAGTATGCCCAAAATATGCTTGAACCATGGTGCTGCATTGGAGATTTTAATGCAGTACTGGAAGCTAAGGATAGGGAAGGAGGGAATCTTGTCATAGATCATGAAATGAAAGACTTTAAAGAGTGTGTGTTAGAGAGTGGTCTGGAAGAAATGCCTTGGGTAGGTCCCTATTACACCTGGTCAAACAAACAAAAGCCTGATAAGAGGACATGGTCAAAGCTTGATAGAGCATTGTCTAATGATATATGGATGATTAAGTATGCATCAAGACTAAAGTACTAAATGAAGGAGTATCAGATCATTCCCCTTTACTGGTAACAAGTGTGGATCATTCACAACATAATACTCCCTTCAGATTCAGCAATATGTGGTTAGATGACCCAGGCATGACACAAATCATGATGAGGGTATGGAGAACAGATGGAAACAACAAGAACATGTATCAGCTAGTTCAGAACCTGAAAGGTCCTTTAAGAAGATTGCACAAAGACAAATATAGAGATATCCATAAACAAACAGATGAAGCCAGAGAGAAGTTACTGCAGTTACAAAAAGAGATGAAACTGATGCAGGTAACATATGAATTAGTTGCTAAAGAGAGGGAGCTGAATGATAAACTTCATAAAGCAATAAAGGCCTCCAATATTATGAAGTGCAATAGAGTAAACAAGATTGGATCACTAAAGAAGATAAGGGATCCATGATGTTTTATGCCTGGCTTAAGAAAAGGAGAGTCCAAAACCACATTTTGGCAATCTAAACAATGAAAGGTGATGTGATTGAAGGGGCAGATGAAATAGCTAAGGTCTTTGTTGAGAGTTATAGAAAACTACTGGGCACCAAGGATGATATTAAAGGTATTGATGATAATATTGTTTGAAGTGGTAAAATCCTGAACATCACATAATAGATGGGATTAATAAAACCCTTTAGTGCAAAAAAGTAAAAGAGGCACTGTTTTCAATCCCAAACAATAAAAGCCCATGACCAGATGGGTTTGGAAGTGGATTCTTTAAGGGCCAATGGAAAGTTGTTGGAAACCTAATGACCAAAGCTGTTTTGGATTTCTTCAAGGAAGGGAAAACATTAACACAAGTTAATGCAACCATCCTCACACTTATTCCCAAAGCTGTAGATCCTACAAGTCCAATGGATTACAGACCAATCTCATGTTGTAATACTACTTATAAAGTGATATCCAAATTGTTATGCATGAGATTGAAGGAGGTGTTACCAGACATTATTGACCTCAATCAGGGGGCATTTGTTCAGGGAAGGGAACTAACACACAATGTCCTTATGTGTCAGGAAACTGCAAGAGGATACAACAGGAAGCAGGTGTCACCAAGATGTATGATGAAGCTAGACATTTAGAAGGCATATGACTGAGTCTGGGAGGCAATTAGAGGTATGATGTATAGCCTGAAATTCCCAAAAATGTTCATAAAATGGGTTATGTTCTGTGTCACAACCCCTACGTATACAATAAATATTAATGGAGGTTAGTTTGGATACTTTAAAGGAGCCAAAGGGTTAAGACAAGGGGATCTACTCTCCCCTTTACTCTTTGTATTGATTATGGAATATCTAACAAGGAGTTTCCAAATTGCTACTCAAAGGAATAGATTTAAGTATCCCCCTATGTGTGGGCAGTTGAAGATAGTAAATTTGTGTTTTGCTGATGACCTCATTGTGATGGGAAAAGTTGATAAGCAGTTTATTATGGGTATTATGGGGGTACTGTAGGATTTTAAGATGGCAACAGGACTGAAAATAAATAAAAAGAAATCCCAAATAGTGTTTGGAGGAGTGAATCAATATATCAAAGAAGAGTTACTAGTTATGACTTAAATGAGAATGGGTAAATTACTGTTTACATACCTGGGGAGCCCTATTACTATTTCTAAATTGAAACATGTTGATTGTGATACTCTAGTCAACAAATTGACCAGCGGGATCAGAGTATGGGGGCCAAGAAATTTGTCTTACATGGCCAGGGTCACGATCATAAATTTAATTCTTATGGGGATCATATCATTTTGGGCTAGAATTTTCATCCTACCTAAGCAGGTTATAAATAGGTTATATATTATGTTGATGTTTTTATATTCATTCACGATTCAGATGATACCTGCGTGATATGCTGCTTTAATTTATTGTTGAAGTTTTGTCAGTTTCTTTGCTTCAGTTCTTAGAATGCATAATTCGGGCTAAAACATGCATCACTGAGATTTCAAAATGCACCGTGAGATGTTGCATTATTATCAATGTTTAATGAATCTCTATCAGTTTCTCTTATTGCAAGGTATACGGAAAATGGATCATTTTCCCATTGTGTTATCAGATGGTCTCTAGAGCTTAATTAACATCTCCTTTTGAGTCCCACTTTGTGTTGGTCGAGTTTGGTGTAATGTCAAATTTTAACATTTTATTCTCACTACAAGAATTTGTCTAGTCTGCAACGGAAATCTGCTACGGACCTGTTTCCGTAGCAGATCTGCAACGAATCTGCGACGGATGAATTATTGTTGAAAAATGAAAACTATCTGTGACGGAATTACGTTTTTCGTCGCGGATCTGCAACGGAAAATATGGTGCTGTCACAAATTCGAAGACTTCCAAGATGGTCAAATTTTGCACATGAAATCTGCGACAGTTTTATCATTTCGTTGCAGTTCTGCAACGGAATCCGTGACGGCATCCATTCCGTCGCAGGGGTTTAATTAAAATCAGATCTCAGTCTCACAACGCAAAATCAAAATCAGTTCAAACCTATCCCTCAACCCCCGTCAGCCGCCCTCAACCCCCCTCAGTCGTTCAGCCGCGCCTTCTATCGTCGTCGTCCTCGCCGCGCTGCGCCAGCGCTCATCGCCCTCGCCGCCGCCGCCGCCGCCGGCAGTGTTAGCCCACGCCGCGCCAAATCCCTCGACCGTCAGCCGTCCAGCCGTGCCAGCCCTCGACGCCCTCGCCGCCGCCGCCCTCAACCGAGTTCCCTCGCCACCACTCGCCANCGACCGCCAGTCTTCCCCGCCGGTCCTCTTTGCCGTGAATTTCAAGGTTAGGTACTTTTGTTTAATTTTATACAATTTATTATTATTGTAATTTTTGGTGAAATTGAATTTGTTTGTGTGAAATTGAGTGCATTTTTGGTGAAATTTAGTTTAAATTGTGTGAATATGAGTTGAAATTGACATGAAATTGGGAAAAAATTGTATTAGTTTTTTGTGAAATTGATAGTATTTAAGGTGTAATTTTAGTTGAAATTGTGTTTGTTAATTTGACATTTATTGAGAATTTAAGTAAAATTTACTTCAATTTAATTTTGTGAAATTGAATGTATTATAGGTTGATATCTATATTTAAATGATTGTTGTTTATGGTTTAATAATATTTTCGTTTATTAGCCTTTATTGTTGCTATGGTTTGTTGCAAGAAATGTAAGAACATCAAGTCTTGTTCATCAAAGAATATGTTGGATCACATTTTGCGCTTTGCATTCACACCCAATTAATGATTGATGTATATTTTGCTATATGATTTTTTTTGTTTTATGAGCTAACTATACAATATTCTTATTTTTGTATAGATGAGCGACAATGAGAACCCTCCTCCCCCCATGCCGACTGATCGAGAGGTGTTGGCACGTTTGAGGAGGTCCGTCATTGGTAGATGGAGACCCTCTTCTTGCCAGGGATCGCTGGCATGTCGTGGCGCAAAGTCTCAGAGACGACGAAGGAGTTCTACTATCGAGAGTTCAAGGTTTTTTTTGGAAAAATTAATTTTTAACTTCTTTTGTTCACAAGAAAATTAATATATGTGAATACAATCTAAGTTATTGGCTTTTCTATGATGTCAATGTAGAAAAATGCTCGAGTGGATCCGTCAATCGATGAGGGCAGACTCAGGAAAGCTTTTCTCAAGAAAGCTGCTGAACAGTACGCGAATTTTACGTACAATCAAAGGAACCCAAGTCGATTGAAGAAGAAGAAGAAGGACCCGAGGCCATTTGAGCAGTTGAAGAAGGTAAATTAGTAATGGCTTTCATACGAAATCGCATCGCTATGTACAAGTAATGTTTATGAAATATACAAGTATAGGTTTGGGAAGAGGATCCAGAGTTTTTGGAGTTGAGTAAGACAAAGAAGAAGAACAGAAGGAAGGGAAGAGTGGATGGTCCTGCTCTTGGGACGTATTGTGGAGGTTCAATTCCATTTTCTGAAAATATGAATTGATTGGTAAGATATATTTTATAAAATTATAGCTTTGCACTTATTATTCGGTGGACATTAAATGTAAAATTTAATGGACATGTTCATTGAAACTTGAAGGCTAAGAAGAAAGGGGGGCCTGTGCCGTTGGATGAGGTTATCATCCACGCAAAGACAAAGAAACACGACGGCAAGACTTGGGTTGATCCGGAACATGCTGAGCTACAGGTACTTTCTGTAATGCGCAAAACAGTTTGTGTTCATGTTCATAATGTTGGTGCTTTTGTCTTAGAACTTCTAAAGGGTGATAATGTATTTGCTTTCTTGTGTACTTGAATTATATTGTTCTTGTTGACGTTATTCTTGTTATTGATGTTATTGTTAATCATGTTGTTATTATTGTTGTTGCATTGATGCTGTTGTTGTTGTCGTATGACATTGTTTTTGTTGTTGCGTTGATGGTATTGTTGTCCTATGACAAGTTGCTTTTGTTGTTGTGTTGATGGTGCCGTTAACACTAGTCACTAGGTATATGTTACGCTGTTATTTGTTCTTGTGTTGTTCTTGTTCTTGTTGTTCTTGACGCTATTATTATTGCGTTGTTGTTGTGTGATATTAACTATCATATATTTCAGGCTCAATTCTTCGAACTGCGCGAGGAGGCTAGACAGAAAGGGCTACAAGTCACCGACCAAGAAATATGGTACTCGCTAGTCGAGGGCCATAACGCGAAGAACCGCGTTCCTGGAGTTGGTGACTACGAGCGAGAAATGAGGAAAATGAATCCGTCTTCCAAACCTCGCCGTTCCAGCACGAGTAGCAGCAGCGCAGTGGAGATGGCAGCACTTAAAGAACATAACCAAAGGCTGCAAGAACAAATTGATAATCTAACCTCGAGCTTATCGCTGACGATTCATAAGGAGATAAGAAAGCTATATGGTGGTAACCTTCCTCAATGAGGCGATGATGATGGAACGGGAGGGGCAGGGCAGCCCGGAATTTGTTGAGACCTTTACGACCTTAGCTTCCTCTTGAACACTTGACACTGACACTTAGTTTTCATTGTTAGATTATAATGAATTATGTTACATTCGCACGTGAAGTTTTTTCATTAATCTAGCTTTGAATTATCAATTTGGGTGTTGAAATCTTGTTTAGAATTATGTTTCTGAAAATTGAATGTGTTTTGCCCCTCATTTTAGTAGCTATTGCCTAAAAACAGGAAAATTCTGGCATTTCTGTCGCATATCTGCGATGGAAGAATCCGTTGCTAATTCCGTCGCAGAACTGCGATGGTTGGTTACCTCCGTCGCAGATTGGGCTTGATAAAAAAATGGAAAATGCCGTTGCAGGTCCGTCGCAGATCTGCCATGGAATTTCAATTCCGTCGCAGATTTTAAATCTGCCACAACTTTTCTGCGACGAAAATATTTCGTTGCAGATCCGTCGCAGAATGGATATCTGCCACGGAATTTCAATTTCTGCAACGAAATTTGTCCGTTGCAGATCGGCAGTTTTCTTGTGATCTATTAGACATAGCATTTTGTATCACGGGTATTGCACACCTCTCCTCTATCTAATGCATTTACGTGATATGTCTATAAATTATTATCTTCTTTCGTCTTCAATTATTCCTTATATTTATTCTATAATTTTTAATCCCCGTGGCATATTGTTTTAGTGCATTATATAAGATATTCAATGTTTTATAAAGATTTTGCATTACATATATAAATATATGATTTAAAAACCATTGCCAATTAGCTCAAATGGTAGAGCGGTATGCATTTGCATACAGATGTAGGTTCGAATCCCTCATTGGCACCTTTTGCGATTGAAACAAAAAAAATATATTTTATTAGTCACACACTAAAATCAAACAAATATGTTTCTATGTGGTTAAATGAATAGTCATTTTTTTTATAAATTTACTTTTCTTAGATGTTATCTCTACATTTTGAAGATTTACTTTTCATTAAGGTGCATTAGTTGTGAACGGTATGTAACATGTTCAAGATTATGTGCAATATGTATTATAAATGATGCCAATATTTTAACAATTTTTTCTTTACATTTTTTGCCTAGGGCATCACACAAATCTATCACTAAAGTGCATGTGAAATTTCTTTTATAGTCTTTTTATCTCTTGTTATGGTATACGAAGTATTTCTTAGTGTACTTATTCAAAATCTAGACTTTGGAATGATAATATTCACATAGTGCACTGCAATAATTTATTATTTGCACAGTTCAGCATACACATGTCCATTGTATGATGCATTTACAATAACTTTAGATGCATCAATGACTTGTCTAGAAGCATCAACGTCAACAGTGAAAGCAGCATTAGTTTCCAGTTGGCAATGGCGAAAAAAGTGGATTCTCTTTTGACCACTTTTGATTAGAAAATTTAAAATTACCTGCATGCCCTTCATAATCAATTCGTCCCTGATTTCTTGGGATGCAATCAATAATTTCCTTTTTAAATTTTAGGGAGTAATGGCTTGGTCTATTATTAATAGTCACACGATCCATCCAATCCAATGTTTATTATTCATTCTTATTTCTTTCAACAAGAATCATTCTCACAGGAACCGGCCTATATATATATATATATATATATATATATATATATATATATATATATATATATATATATATATATATATATATATATATATATATATATATATATTGTCACTATTAGAAAACTAAAACAGCTAAAATTATATTTATAGAATCTCAAAAAATTAGAATATATGCGAAACCGACAAGTTATTATTGTATTTCGTTTGTAACAAATGGCAGTGTGGAAACACTTCAATCCCCCCAAAAAAAAGTAACGGAAGGACCCATAAAAGTTTATTTATTCATTATAAAAAAATACTCGTGGTAAAATAAAATTATCTTAACATAGAGGAAAAACCCAGGATTCCAGGATTGCATCCTTATATAAGTAGCGGGGAGAACCACATTCAGGCACTCGTTAATTAATTTTGTTTCTATCTCAGTAATTAATTATATTCTTCTTGGAATTACCGCACGTAAAAAAAAACCCTCGTAATTAAAAATAATATTCTTTCTCAATAATTACCATAATATATTATATTCTTCTTGTGTAGAAATGATGAAGAAGAGCCCTGCAAGCTTTTCAAGTAATAAAAAACTCATCACCACACTCATCCTTTTGCTCATTGTAGCCGTATATGTTTATAGGATTGAAGCATTTGGCGGCGGTGGCGCCCACGGTGGCGGTGGTGCCCACGGCGGCGGCAGTGGCGCCCATAGTGGCGGCAGCGGCGGTGGGCACGGTGAGGGTGGCAATGGCGGTAGTGGGGAGGGCGAGGGCGGCGGCGGTGCCATTGGCGCTCTTCCGAAAGGCGGGAATAATAATAATAATAAGGGGAAGAAAAGCGGGAGTAGTTGGCCGCATTCCACTCTTCTCCCCTGGAACGATCCCAAGTTGGGACGTCAGCTTGATACCCTCATCTTCTCCGGCGCCTTGCTTGCCTATTTTCGCATCATCTAATCATATCCCCACTCGCCAGCGTCCGTCCGGCCGGCCGGCGGAAGCGGGTATCTATCTAATTAAAACACTCTTAACTCTTTAATAATGTCGTGTATTTTTATAAGAACATTGATCGAGGTGAAATATAATCATGTATCCATATATATCATTGGTATTAATGTATCATGTGTTATGTGTTTTTATATGATGTTTGTAAGGAATTATTTTTACTTTTTACTTTAAATGTGTGATTATTCATGTCAAATTAAGAAATGGAAGTTAGTATTTCTCAACTGAACTAAAAATTTTGGGAAATTCACACAAATGGGACTAAAACTTAACACTTTTCTCAAAATAGGACTTGTCCCACAGAGACTAACGTTTGATTAACAAAAGGTTACAGTTAACCTCGAAACAATCTATTATTACTCACAAATTCTGCATCCATATATATTTTTTAATATAAAAGATATCAAATCCCTAATTCTATGCCAATTATACGGGAATTCCTACAGAAAAGGAAGGAACCAGTCAAATAGGTCTTTGACATAGTATTTCCATCTTTTTTCGTCAGAAAACAGTTAGGGTTAATAGTGAAAAGAAAAACATGAAAATTGTTTGTTTTTTCATTTTGACTACTAATTATAGAAAAAATATACTTTAAGATATATTTTAATGTATCAAACTTTTAATATATTTATTTATTTAATTTATAATAAAAAAGACCACAAAAGACAAATTAAAACAAGAATTTTAGAAGGGAAGAAATAGGTATTTTAGTGTCCAAATTTAAAGCTCATTATGAGAATTATGTAGCACTTTTATGGAAATAATAATTTTGGTGAATAATCTCTTCTAGGAAATATTTCATAGTGTCATAGATTTGGTGAAAATGCCTTATACATATGTATGTGAATTGTGAAAAGAGAACTTGACAAGCTTTTAAAGGTAACTATGTCTCACACCATAATTAAAACAAGAATTTTTTCAATATTTCTAACACATAAATGTCTAAAATTAAATATCATTGTAAAGGTTAGTCTCATGTTGCATCATAATACCAAAGCTAACAAATAATTAAACAAGACCTTACATTGGCAAAGAATAATCGTATAGCTAGAGCATGAAAAAAATCAAAGACATTAACATCCAGGATATTGTGTTAAAATTACGGGCGGATCTACTTGGAAACAGTTGGGGGCCAATGCCCCCAACTAAATTTTGGTGCTAAACTAATTCTTTTTTTAAAAAAAAATTCTTATACTTTGGGCTGCATGCCCCCATCTAAAATTGGGATTGATCCCATAATTATTTACTCTCTACAAAAATGAATGAAACCTTATTTAATTAAGCTAATTTTTAATTTTTTTTGTTTAATCTTATTGCAGTAAAGTGTATTTTATTGCATTTAATTTATTATTTAAAATGAAATTTTACATTACCTATTAAATAAAACTTTACATTCAATAAATGTTTAAAATAAAATTCATAATTTTTGTCATTTCAAGTTGACTATTTTTTAAAAAAATCAAGGGCGCTGCCCTGACCAATTGTGCCCCCATCTACCTGAATTTCTGAATCCGCCACTGTTAAAATCAATTAAAAAATTTTACATAATGACCCATGAATTTACTAAAGAAATTTTTTATATAATGACCTATACTTTTTTTTACTCCTTCTGTACAATACAATTATTTCATTACATCAAATGATCATTGAAAATATATTAAAAATGTAGTAAGTTTAACGTGTGAGTGGTAACTAGGAAGATTAACTTAGAACGGATGGAGTATTTATATACATTTTTTAATTTTAAAAATTTACTTCAATTTTCTTACAAATTAAATTAAAAACAAAAGTACACCAAAGAAAGAAAGAAGAAAATTGGTTGTTAAGAAAAGAAGAAGAAAAGCTTAATTACAAATTTAAACAACCAAGACGTGAAGCATTTGAATTTGAATTAAGGTAGAAAATTGTTGAAGAATAAGTCATGTTGAATAAGTCTTATTTAATAAGTCAATAGCTTTAGTTGTTGTCCTATTCTTCAGGAAGTAATTACTTCTAAAAGATAGGAGAAGTTAATGATTGACATTATCTCAAGAAGCAAAACAAGGAAGCTTAAACGAGATACTCCAAGGGAAAAGATGGATTCACACTAAAAATTTAGTATTAATCATTTAGGATAATATTTGAGACTCCTGTATGTGAGATGTTGACATGTGTTATCCTACATGACATCCTTTAAAATCTCATTTATCATTTATGAAAAAATATTTATGATAATCTTTAAAATTAATTTGATGAGTTTAAAACAATGTATTTTATATAAAAAATCATGATTTTTTGAACTTATTGAAAATTATGCAAACGAAATTTAAAAAAATAAGTTTTTAACAAAAATTAAATGAATTATTCATAAAAAAACTAATCATGTTTAAGTTGGTCTTCTTTTTCATAAAAATGACAATGATATTAAAAGTCTTTTGAGTAAAATATAAATTTTTTTAAATTATTAATCTATTCTTTTGTATGGAAATTTATTGAGCTAAAATATAGCTCTTCTTATATCACTTACTTAAATATGAA